GTGTTTTGGATCTAACTGTACTAGGATTATACTGATTTCTTCTACAGATTGTTATAGATATAATGTATAATAGAAATGATTATTGTGAAGTATGAATAGAAAGTTTGTAAGCCTACTGCCTTCGACCATTAAATTAGATCTGTTAAATGGGTAGCTGGAATTACCTGTAAGGGAGGCTACTTGGCTTTTTGAATTCTGAACTAGTGGTTAGTGCCTAACGCTGGAAAAATATGGAACCAGGAAGGAACTTTCCTCTCTAAGACTGAAAGTTAAAGGGAGCCCTGGGGCAGCGTGCAATGCTAATTGACCACCTGGATCCAATTGTTGAGTGAATGAGTAGAAGTGGGAGAAATGCAGCAAGAGAGAGACAGGTGAGGCTGATCACTGACACCCATGGATATGGTTCACAGGGACTAGAGGGTTAATGAGAGCAGGCTGGCTGGTCTAAAGTTTGAAGTGTTGAGCAGAACCTGAGCCTGTGGTATCACCTAGCCCACAGGGGCTAGGACTGTTGAGAATTTGTGAAAGGGCTCTTGGTCAAGAAGTGTGGCAGCTAACATACACCCTGGTAAGGCTAAGCGAGGGGGCCCATGAACCCGACCAGAGGAAGACAGGATTTTTGAGCCTATAAACTGGTGCACATTGCTGCTGACTTTATGGCTGGCCTTCTCCAATTTGATTTTGCTTATGGGTGCACACTCACAACTAAAATGAAGATTCTTCATATCAAAGAACATGCTGCTTGTCTCTTTGGAGAACTAGGTTGATAGAAATGGGTAACGTAGAAACCCAAACTGGGAGGAGAAAAAGACATGAAGTGACTGGCTTACAAACCTTCATGACTGGGGAAAGATGTTGATACGATTACATGATTAAGGTATAGGTGGTTCATATAACTACAATCGTTAGGCAGAGAATATTACTGTTTTATTCACTTATAGAATATAAGGTTAAAGTAAAGCTCGTGACTTTCATTTTATGTGTATTAATTGTATCATGTTGGCACCAGTATGATTTTATTATTGTTTTTGTTTTAAAATTATGTATGGCTAAAGATTTGTGTAAGGGTCTCAAGTTGGCAGTAGTGGTCTGCGGTTGTTACAACTGTGTCAACTAAACACTCCAGGCTTGGGATGGAGTCAGACCTCTTAATCAGATCACAGCCTGATGCTGTCTCCTTGGGGGTGTGGCCTGCTTATAAAGATCCTAGGATACCTCCCCACCGTGCCTTTTCCCTTCCTGCTTGTTGGGCACCCTTACATCTGACAGAGCCCTGCCATGTTTCCACTGACCTTGGATCCCCATGACTCTGCATCCACTGCCCTGTGATCTTCCTGCATTCTGCATCACTGCATGTGGCTGGCTACATGAGACTGACCAGGGACTTATGGACTAGTGTCAGACTTAAGGACTTGAGTTGAACTGGGCTGGGATGTTTTCTGGATATATAATTACTTCTTGATATAAAGCTTTTTCTTATACATTAATAAGTGTCACTGGATAGGTTTCTCTAGTCAACCAGGCCTAACAAAATCAGCAATAATATCCCTTACACCACATCCTATTCTGAATCCAGCTTGAATTTCTGCCACCTCTGATGTACTGCTATAACCACTGTTGAATTGTATTGACCTGAATTTTACTTAAATATCATATTGATACTGTTCATAATTTCCATATTCTGTTAGGTCACTTTTCTTTGGAGTATGGATCTCTTTCAATTGATTGGCTGGATCTCTTTTCAATTTCTTGGGATAAGTCAATAAGCGCATCCAGTAAAAAACACACTCACTGTCATTGAGTAAATACCAACTCCTAGCAACCCTGTGGTAGAACCCAAGGTAGAAATGCCCCTGTGAGTTTCTGAGACTGTAACTCTTTATGGGAATAGAAAGTCCCATCTTTTCCCCAAGAAGTGCTTGGTGTTTTTGTACTGCCAACCATGCAGATCACAGCTCAACTCATAACCACTTCCCACCATGGTTCCCTATCAGTGCAACGTTATTAATTTGCTGAAACATTTCATCAATTTCCATCAATTTTAGTATTCCATCAATTTCTGAAGCCTTATTTTTCACTAACGCCTTCAAGGCAGCTTGAACTTCTTCCTCCAATATCACTGTTTCTTGATCTGAGCTACACTTCATGAAACTAATTCTTTTGGGTCGAATAACTGTACATTCCTTTCATATTTGTTTGATGCCTTCAGCATCATTCAATGCTCTTCCCATTAAATCTTTTAATATTGAAGAGAAGGGAGGGAAGGGGAGCTGACAGCAATGATGCCCGTACAACCCACTCAAGGAGAACGAATAACAAAGCTTTAAATCTTTATGGGAACAGTGCACCTCATCTTTCTTTTATGGATAGGTTGGTGGTTTCAAACTGTTGACCTCGTGCTTTTCACCCCAACATGTAACCTACTATACCTGTCACTGAGTCAATGCTGACTCATAGCAACTCCCTGTGGTTTCTAAGACTACCTGTTTACTGGAGTAGAAAGCCTAGTCTTTCTCCTGGAGCTGCTACTGGTTTGGAACTGCCAACCATGTGCATTGCAGCCCAATTCATAACCACTACACCCCCAGGGCGCCAACATATATACGTGTGTATAAGTGTGTATGTGTGTGCACATGTACTCTCTTCCTGCTTCTGAGATGCCATACACACGCATACACATTTTTTCCTAGAAGCAGAGAGAGGTCCCCTGACCGTAATCAAGAAAGAAAGTCACCAGCAAAGCATGTGCAAGATCCCTGTCTGAGTGGCAGCATCTGCAGAAGTATGAGGTCTCAGTACTGACACCGTGAAACAGAGCAGAGAAGCCACAGTAAGCCCTTGAGATAGTGCATAGGAGATGCACCAAAACCATGCAAAAGAGCAGAGAAGAGGGACCAAAACACTGAGGCAAAGCAGCAAGCTACCTGGCCCATGGAGCAAATCAGAGGCCAAGGATCAGAGAGACATGCCTGCCCTCATGGCTGAGAAGAGGCACTGTAGGTAAATTAACTATCTTGTAACATTTTGTAACCTGTTAGCTTACCTAATAAATCACATAAGCGTGATTTTTATCAGTGAATTCTGTGTAGCCATTGTAATGAATCATTGAACGCAGAAGAGAAGTACAGTAATGTGTGAGCACTGGCTGGTATCAGATTGGTTAAAAGAAGTTGGAATGGTGGCATGTCTGACTTCTGCCTTATGGCAATTGGCTTGTGAATTCCCAAAGCTGGTGTAGGATCTAATTTTCCTTTTCCTTTCTAGCCAGAGGTTTGCTGTGGCACTCATGCCATTTCTTCAATCAACTACTTAGTGAATTTTAGATTGTTTCACATCTTCATGATAGCCAAAGGAATTTATATGAAATCTCATTATTTTAGGGTATTTAAGTTTCTGTGGGGAGATAGCCAATTAATATGGCTCTTCTAACTACAATCCTTTATATGCTGTATTGTAAATTCTAATCTCTATTCTTGTGGTTATAATCCCATTTTAGAAGAGTTCTCTTAAGGTGGGGTGTATTCAAAATCTCCCCCATAGCAGATGGTGTGATCTAAGTCATCACTGTTTCCTTAGGATATCGTCCCCAGAAAGAATTCATGGGGCCATTAAAAGAAGAAGAGCCAGGGGGGTACATTAAGATCCATCTACAGTACTGGAGGTCAAGACCTGAAGGCTGTGGCACAGAGCAATGGAGGCAGGACAAGATCGGAGGCTGAGGCCACAAGAGCAGAGAAGAAGTGTGAACACTATGAGACAGGTTTGGGCAGGTTTCCTGGTCTATGCAAACCAGAAGCTAACGGACCTCATGGTTGAGAGATTGAAGACCAGAGTGAGGCTTGGTTTTGAAGTCAGAAGAAACACTGCGGAGGGCCAATGGCTGTATTATTATTGTTTACTGATCCTGACGAGCCCATTGTTGCAGCCACTGTGTTAATCCATTTTGTCAAGGGTCTCCCTCTTTTCCATGCTCCTCCATTGTACCAAGTATGTCCATTTCCAGGGATTGATCTCTCCTGATAACATGTCCCAAGTACATGAGACAAAGTGTCATCATCCCTGCTTTTAAAGAGCATTCTGGCTGTACTTCTAATACAGATTTGTTTGTTCTTTTGGTAGTCCGTGATACTTTTAATATTCTTCACCATAACCATAATTCAAATGCATCAATTCTTTAGTCCTTATTATTCAACATCCAACTTTCATATCCACGAGGTAATTGAAAATACCATTTATTTCTCTGAGTATGACATAAAATATTGTAAAATTAAGTACCATATATACTCAAGTATAAGCCACCCCGAGTATCAGCCAAGGCATCTAATGTTACCACCAAAACGGCATTAGAAATGTGCTGAAAAACTCGGCTTATACATTGGTATATAGGTATATATCCTTTTGAAGTAGCTAGTTTAAGTGGCAACAATTATTTACATACCTAGTTTTTAATATATACATTTAAAAGTGAATTTTACCATTACATGCTGTCTTAGCATGTAACGTTGCTATAAGAGAACATCACGAGTGGATGGCATTCACAAATAAATTTATTTTCTCACAGTTAGGAGGTTAATGTCTGAAATAATGGTGTCAGATCTAGGGGAAGGCATTCTCAACAGCTCTGGAGAAAAGTCCTGGTGTCTTCTGAGCTTTTGTTCCTAGGAAAGCTTCATGTGGTATGGGATCTATATTCTCTTGCCTACTTCTTTTGCTTAAAATTATTTTTTATCTCTAAAAATACATGGATGCAGGACACATCCTACACAAATTCTGTCTTATTAACACAATAAAGACAACCTATTCCCAAATGGGATTATAACTATAGGTGTACAGATTAGGATTTGTAGCACATATTCAGGAGAAACATAATTCAAATCACAACATATTATACTCAAGGATTTTTATATTTAAAACTTTTGTTATGTATCATCATCTTAAAATTACCAAATTATGTTTCTATTTTTATTTCTATGGCACATTTAATTCCTTTAACAACTTACCTTAGCTGCATGGTATGTACTAGCTTCAAGCAAATCTTCTTTTTTAGATTCTTTCGCGAGCAAGTTAAATCGACTTAACATTGCCGCCTTACAGAGCCGACTTGCCATTGACACACCACTTTTAAACGGGGAACTAAAGTAGAAAAGAACGAAACATTTACTATTCGGAATTCAGCCATGTATATTGATAATTGTAGAGATCAAAACCAACATGTATCCTAAAAATATTTATTGATCCCAGATTATGTACAAAAAGCATGTTAAACTGAATTTTAATTGAAAACTCATTTCTAATATTTAATTATTTTTAGCCCCATTTCTTTAATAACATTTCAGTTTAAGTTTTATACTTCTACATTAATAATTAAAGCAGAAGGTTACTATTTGGGGCATTTTACTGTTTGTGTGTGGTAGACACATACCAGTAGGCTTCAAAAAGTTTATAAACAAAATTAAAAGATAATAGTAATTTTTCTAACAGCTTTATTAAGTTCTTTATATAGTAACATTTAGAAAATGATTTTTATTTTATGTAAGCTTTAACTCAAAAAATGAAATATATTCACCTACCTTAAATCTCAATTTATAGGTGAAGGTATCTATTTTTTTGTTTTTATTAAAAGTGGGTCTACAGATCATGAACTTTTGCTACTGTAATTTCCCTCCTTAATTATATCTCACATTATTTCTTATTGTTAAAGATAAAAAAATTCCCCATAATCCTCTACTCTTCCTGTTTTCATGCTCTCTATGAATTGTCTTCTAGATCCTTCCTGCAAAAGATACAACTGGTTTCTCCTCCCCCTTTTAATTTTGTAGCCACAAGGGGCATGTTCTTCTAATTCTCTTGCACACTTGCTTCCACCATGTGAACAGGTTAGGATTACCTTACTAGACGTTGAGTGGATACATGGGCCAGGGCCTAAATGACCCTCTAAGATCATCTAAGCTGACCTGCATCAGAACAACAACTGAACCCCATTCATGAAGGAGGCAATCCAAATCCAGAACCATCCAGGTGACTTAAGTATGGACTTGTGAGCAATAATAAACTACTATTTTATAAAATATCGATAAACTTTGAGGTTAATTCATGTAATAATAGTTCACATACACTTCTATGTACGAAATCTCATTTGCATGTATTAATTTTCCAACCTGGTCCCTTAGTGATTTCTCTCTTTTGTGGTAACTTTTCAGAAGATTCTGTGGACATTCCAAATATAATAAAGTGCTACTTTCTACAAAGAGTGGATCTTTTACCTCCTCTTTTCCAATGTTTAATATCTATAATTTCTTTCTCTTGCCAAATGTACCAATTCCTCCAGTATAATGGTAATTAACAGCAATGAGATTGAACAATCATGTCTTGTACTGATTGTTTGTGGGAGTATCTCTAAGGTTACATCATGTATATATAGTTCATCCTGTAAAAAAATCTACTCCCACTTTTAATTGAGTAATTTTATCTAGAACAGTTATTGAATTGTATTAGCTAGATATATGGCACTTCTTCCTAGAGCAACAAATACAGTAAGTTACATGAAGCAGTTAAGTATTTCAATTGCTACTATCCTTGCATTCCTAAAAAAAAAAAACAAAAAAAACCCCAGAGACGATAGAAAGTGTATGTTTTCTCGAAAGGTCTAGTTCAAATGGCATCTCTTAAGAGACACCCTCCCTGAGCTCCCAGGCAGTTACTCTTTTCCTGTGATTCTTTGTATATTCAAGTGTTTATAAAAAAAAATTTTTTTAAAGACATCAGTACTGCAGTATAAAATACAATTTTTATAAATATGGTGCTAGATTATCCTAATACAGTTGACAGTCCCTTGGTTATCAATGTCATATTTATGAACATCTTCTACTTGCTTTCAATGTTACATAAATTTGCTCTCACTTTGAAAAGATTGATTCAACTCCTACTCACAACAAATTCCTTATCACAATCATTTTCACTTGCTGTTCCTGCAGCTTTTAAATCGGTGAAAAGGCCCTGATGCTTTTCTTGCACCCAAACCCCAAAAACCCACTGCCGTCAAGCTAATTCCAAATCATATCAACCCTACAGGGCAGAAGAAAACAGCTCACTAGTGTTTCCAAAGTCATAGATACTTTTATTGGCACAGAAACTTCATCTTCTGTTTTTGTAGTGAAAGCCAAACTCACAGGCAATCTCTAAGTTATTGTGGATTCTTTACAGATGCAAATGCTTCAACTTCCTTCTGTTTTACACTAAAGTAAAGCTAGATAAGAACCATATGCACCTGGTCACACTGACCTACCCATTCTTAAAGACAAATTCTTAAGAATGGTTATCATTCATAATACAGGGGGACTGCCTGCATTTTACTTAGGTACTTAACTTTGATATATGGTATCTTACAAATAATCAAAACACAACAAACAAACTCATTGCGATGGAGTCGATGCAGACTCAGGACCCCATGTGACAGGGTAGAACTGCCTCTGTGAGTTTCTAATACTGTCTCTTTACAGGAGTAGAAAGCCCATCTTTCTCCCTCGGAGGGGCTGGTGGCTTCAAACTGTTGACCTTGTGGGTCTCACTCCACCTGGGCTCCTTGGTCTATAACTTTTGGTAGGAGGAAAAGACAGTAATATTTTAACAGATTTAGGCAGCAACAAAACATTAGCTTTATAAAATCTATTCCTAGCTTTTTAGAGAGGATTGGAAATACTAGCTATCTGTAAGTTTATAAAATTCCTCTGTGAGTTACCTCAGAATGGTGTTCCACTTAGTAACAATTAGGGTATCTTTTTGATAATTTCCTCATTGAAGATGAAAATCTGTGAAGTATACTCATGAATCCTGCTTTGGTGGTTCCCTTTTTAGTAATCTAGTTTCCTTGCTCTCTTACAAATTCATCTTTGCTTTATAGTCATTTCTGATCATTTGGTGCATTAAGACAATCTTTTAAAGTAACACAGTACTATTGGGCAATATTCATTATGAGTCAATCAGTTATTTACCTAAAGAGTGACCTCAAGGATTGGTTTCAGCTTAAAGTTTAAAGAGTATCTCAGGGCAATACTCCCGGAGAATCTACAAGTCTCATCTGGTTCAATGAGCAAGTTTTATTTCACATTTTTCGCCTATCAGAATCCATCTAGTGTATTCATGGAAAGTAGTGGTAACTTGGTACCATCTAGTTCTGGTATCAGGATAATTGATGACATGGTTTGTTTATTTTATTAATCCTGTAGCCTGATTTCTTGAGTCTTACATTTACTTCTTTCTCTCTGGCTTTGTATAAGTAAACACTAGTGACTGTACAATGGCTACCTGCACTATTCATCAAACTAGGATGTGGAACGTAAACTTTATAAACTGTATTATAAACTGTATTGATCAAGATGTTCCATGAAACTATGGACTGAAGCCTTCAAACCTGAAAACTAATGCATAACTCACTGCCTTTGAGTTGAAATGGATTCACAGTGACCCTATAGGAAAGGACTGAACTTACCCTGTGGGTTTCTTAGACTCTTTATAGGAGTAGAAAGCCTCATCATTCTCTGGGGGTGCGGCTGGTGATTTTGAACTGCTGACCTTGCAGTTTAGCAGGGCAACTTGTAACCACTACTACATCACAAAGGCTCATATTTCTTAAATTAGCTCCACCAAATTCAGGGTGCTTTTATAAGTTATTTTTCTACAATGTTACAAAGAATGCCTTTGTTTGTATGGGTGTGCTTACATGTGCGGTTCTGATATTTAAAAAAACAAAATGATCTTGGTGGCAGTGGTCATCTTTCTATTACAACATTTAATAAAATGCTTAATTTATTTCTTTAGAAAATATTAGTGCCTTACTAGAACAATGATAGGAGCCTTCGTGGTGTAGTGGTTACATGTTTGACTGCAATCTGCACGGTTGGCAGTTTGAAACCATGAGCAGCAACGTGGGAGAAAGACTGGGCTTTCTCCTTTTGTAAGGTTAGTTTCAGAAACCGACAGGGGGTCCGCTTTCAGTCAACATTGACTTGATGACAGTGAACAGAGTAATAATAAATTAGTGTATTCCTTGTTAAACCCAACCTGTTCCCCATAGTAAAACTTTTCTGCAGAATGTCCTAGTCTGTGATTAAGTCACGCTGGCGTCTTTAGTGCTGTATCTTAATGTTCTCCCAGTTCTTCATACATTGCTCATGAATGGAGTTGAATTTTTCAGTTATATTTGCATGAGATACCTTGATGGAGAGACTACAAAGTTTTCATAATCAAACTGAGTCCTGAAAATAGTAACATATCTGTCACTCCACTTCTTTCAAAATTGGGTCCCGAAAGATTCCTGTCACGCTTCCTAGTTCCCATAACTATTGCTGTTACAAGGGATTTAGCTTTTGCATTTCAGGTGCAAAACTTCAAAAGTGTAATTTTGCTAGTATTTCTAAGATCTAATAAAATGAGGACCCCTCCTTGTCTTGTTCTCTGAGTTTGAGTGATAACTCTATACTTTACTATACACCTTTAGAAAGCTAAGAAACTTCTCCAGGATTTCTTCTCCTGTGGGCATGGGTGGGGAGCTGACTTTTAACTATTACAATAATGTCTGTATCATGGTCATATTAAATTTATTATTATTATTATTATATGGAAAAATGGAAATTTGTAATCAAAACATTTTTTTTGCAGAAGTCTGAAAGAAGTTAATATATCTAACCTTTCAGTGATCTTTCCACTTAGACCATCCACAATCTCCAAAGAAACATCTCCTTGTGCCCAATTTAGACTCAGGGATTTATATTCCAAGTTTGTTTGAAGTGGATACGCAGATGGTACTAAACTAATGTGAGGTCTATTGACCAAGTAAAACATTGGAAGTTTTGAAGTCAGTGTATCATCCACACGCTGCTTTATAGCTATTTCCAAGCCTCTAGTATCACTGCAATTCTCATCACCTAGAATGCAGAAGGAAAATGATCAGAATTCAGCATAAAAAAATGAAAGAGTTCAAATCAACTAGGAAATAGCTTTTTATCCTTTACCTTGAACTTCTCTTTCTACTTCTTAGTAGCTATTTCATTACTTGCCAGGACCAAGTACAGGTAATGATAGTTAATTTCCTCTTAGAAAAATTAAAGACAATGATGAAAAGATACTCCATTAAAGAAAACTGACCCACAAATAAACTGGCCCTTTTAATCTTGATTTCTGTTTGAAATTAGGGGATAATGCAGTACATAAACCTGGCTAACAAATATTTGGTAGATGCGAGGTTTTTTGTTTTTTTTTGTTTTGCCACATCTGAGGGCCATAAACATTGTGTTACAGAGCACATTGTGTTATAGAGCACTAAACAATGTTTTAGTTTCAGAGCACAAAGTAACTTAAAGACTGTTCCTTTCTGCTTAAAATTGTGGCTAATACGAAAAGCTGTGAGCTCTTGGTTTATATGTGTGGAAGCAGAGCTAAAAATATGCACTATTATATATGTACTATTATTAAATGAGCTGCACCCAAGCTTATAAAAGGTTATGGAGTCCTCATTTAAAAATAATAATTCTACACCAGAGTTCTTATCTCTAACGAATGCCAAAGGTCTCATAAGAAAATCATATGTATCACTAGATAAAATGTACAAATTAATTTTGTTTCCCCATCATTGAGAAAGTTGAACTGGGTTATGGGACTTATACCCAGTATGCCTACCTCAGACAAAGAAAATGAACTACAAAGGACATAACACTATATTATTCTGGTGGAAATTGTGGATTTTTTATATATATATTTTTAATCACAATAATAATAAAATATATTGTTTCTGACACCTTCTTCTAAGTGCTCCTTTTAGTATTTCAAATAAAGAGATAAAGATGAAACCAGACAAATTAAAAATTTGACTTGAGCAAAGAAAATAAAGTGGGAGGAAATAGGGTCTGTGTAGACATTGTAAATATAATGAACAGAAGAGACAAATTCAAAACAAAATGCAGGGAATTTCTATCACACTCTAATGAGATAATGACACTGGTAGTATCTAAAAAATAATAAATTTGGAAAAAGAGAAAGCAACCAAAAGTCAAACCCTTTAAATGCCATATTATTTTACCTAGTTTTTTTTTAAGAGGAATAAAAGCTAATATTAAAAACTCAAGTTCATTAATACTGTTAGAAATTTAGTATATTTATACATGTATTCCACAATGATTTACTATATCCAAGGTATGGTTTTTAATTATGTGTTGAAGCTAAATCTTGTTCTTGGAAAATATATCTCTAAAATCAAATCAGATAATTAAAATTTTAAATTTGATTCATTCAAAATGATCGGTAATAATTACATGTAACTCAAAGGTTAAAGTCAAAGGTTAATTATAGTCAGACTTATAAGAGCCCAAACTATGAATAGATACCATAAAATAATGAGGAAATTCTTTATATACTGAAATGGAAAGATTCCTAATCTATGTTATATGAAAAAAAGTAAAATGGAGAGTCTGGTTGGTATGATCCATTTGTATAAAAATCAGAAAAAAATAACGTACAGGAGTTATTTCTCTAAAGAAAAACTATATTGCAAAAGCATACACATGTGCACAGAACAGATAAAAATGTACACTTTTCCAGAGGGGAAAAATAGGTGGCTGGGGCAATGGAAAGAATTTTTCACTGAATATTCTTTTAAGGCTTTTGAGTTGTGAACCAAGTAACATATTTTCTATTTAAATAAATCAAGTTTATGATTAGAAAAATAACCATTTCCTTTGTATTCGTTTTTAAAAAGACACACCAAACAAATAGCAATAAAATACAGTGACTTACATGTATTTGGAACTGAAAAATTAGCATCAACATAGAAATACCCAAGAATAATGAGAAAATACAAAAATAATAAAGCAACCCCAAACCAAAAGTATTATCCACATCAAGATCTTACATTTACACATACAATCATTACCAAAAATTATTAGCAAGCAAAAGAAGTAAGTGTTCCAGTATTTAAGTTGTTTCAGATGGGTAACTAAAACTCTGAAACACCAAAACTTTGTAAAAACTAATGAAATGAGCCTCCAAAGGGTTTGCTAATGAGATAATATTGGGAAAATCCATTCAAACTTAAAAACCTTCTGTAATAGCCCACAACAAAGAAAAAAAAATCCTCTGCCATCCAGTGGCTTCGTTTTCGAGGATGTGAATCTTTACAGAGCAGATAGCTTCTGCTTTCACCTGTGGAGCAGCTGACAGGTCCAAATGTGTTATAAAAGGAGTAAGGCAGCCAAGACCCAAAATCCCCAGGGGAGTAAACATTTTTATTTCAGGAAGCACTATAAGTACATTACGCAACTTGAGAAATTTGAGGCTGCACCGTCTCATAAAAGAAATGGGAAAAGTTGAGTATTAAACAAAAAATGAAAGTTTAAGACTGAGTATTATATCTAATTGACTAATTTATAATATGCATTCTGAGGCTTCTTAGAGGAGAATAAGAAAAAGTGAAGCATCCTAAGTGTGGTTTCACGTTAACGTCAAATAAAAAGCCCAACAAAACAAAGGATCTCTATTTTGACCTTGTTGATTTTATGCTGATGTGTAAAGATAGCAAGTTCACTAGTGAAAGAAATAAGGGCACATTTCAATTTTTCACTTACCAATCAGCATACTATTGATATAAACTGGCTGTATAAAGTGGCTCAGCAAGGCACCCTGTACACCAAGCACTTCCCATCTTGTCAATTTATCACTTGAGGACATACTACTTATTCGATTAATGACATCTGCAGGACAGTTAACAGTCAGATAAATTTTGCCTTCAACAGCCACATGCAGACTCAGTTCTTCATGAGCTTCATATGCAGACATAGAATGAGGAGTAAGACGTCTGCAGAGAAAAATAACAAAACATTTCTTTTTAAAAATCAAATTGTCATAGTAAAATCTACAGGTCCATAACAAGTATTCTCTAACTTTGCAGTACACTTTTAATTCAAGAAATAAAAACAGATGCAAGGCAGGAATGGAATAAGTGGATTAACTAAGATTAATAATAGAGAAAAATATCCATAATATATTTAGAGCATCCAGGAGATGGGGACAAAATTTTGTTCCCATCATAGGGTCTGGGTTATTTTCTTCCTCACTGTATATATAAAAAATTTAAACTCTAAAATAATTTTAAAAACTTGGTACCTTTTTGTTCAAGAAATAAATCCAATAAAACATGTTAAGTTTTGTCTGAGTTTCATTAAGTTTTCAAGAAGCATTCACTGTCCTTGTGTATGAAGTATTACTAAGAGGACTTTCACCACAATACTACCCATGGTTTCCTCTAGTCTAGATATTCAGACATGATGTGAATTTTACTTTTGTTTTTGTGTTTGTTTGTACTGTTTAAATTACATGATACCTTATGCTACTCATTCCAACTCAAGACTAAAGGGAGAATACAGATAGATACGAAGTTACTTTTCAATTTACTGTAGGAATTCAGAATGTATCCACTTTTCCCTTATGCACTGTAAGTGCAAAATGTATCTTTATATAACTGCCAAATCACAGAGAACCATGGCCTAGCCAAGTTAACACATAATCCTTTAATTAAATACTTTTATTAGGGGGCTCTTACATCTTATCACAATCCTTACATTCATGCATGTGTCAAGCACATTTGCACATATGTTGCCATCATTATTTTGAAAGCATTCTCTTCCCACTTGAGCCCATATCAGCTCCCCATTTCTTCCCCCTCCCTCCTCCACCTGCCCTCCCTCATGAACCCTTGATAAGTTATAGATTATTTTCATATCTTACATTGTCCTCCATCACTCCTCACTCACTTTTCCGTTTATCCCCGTGAGATTTTGGTTGATCCTTGTGATCGATTCCCTTTTCTCCCCCTCCCCTCTCCTCCCCTAATCCTCTTTATCTCTACTCTCATTGTTGGCCTTGAGGGGTTTATCTATCCTGGATTCCTTGTTTCCAGCTTTTATCTGTAACAGTGTGCATGTTCTGGTCTAATCTGATTTGTAAGGTAGAATTGAGGTCATGATAGTGGGGGAAAGGAAGCACCAAAGAACTAGTGGAAAGCTGTGTGTTTCATCAGTGCTATACAGCATCCTGACTGGTTCATCTCTTCCCTGTGACCCTTCTGTAAGGGGATGTCCAGTTGTCTACAAATGGGCATTGGGTCTCCATTCCATGCTCCCCCACCCCCCATTCACATCAGGTATGATTTTGTTCTGGGTCTTTGATGCCTGATCCTTGATCCGATTGACACCTTATGATCACACAGGCTGGTGTGCGTCTTCCATGTGGGATCTGTTGCTTCTCAGCCACTTGTTTTTCTTCAAGTCTTTAATACTCCAGACGCTATATCTTTTGATAGCTGGGTACCATCAGCTTTCTTCACCACATTTACTTATGCGCCCATTTTGTCTTCAGCAATTGTGTTGGGAAGGTGAGCATCACAGAATGCTGGATTATTAGAACAAAATGTTCTTGTGTTGAGTGAGTACTTGAGTCAAGGACCAATGTCCATCTATAACCTTAATTATTAACATATAGCTATGAGTACACAGTTCTATTCCCCTTTCGTTATATACATATTTATTACATATATACATGCATGTATTGACATCTATAAATGTCCTTTGCTTCCTGGTTCTTTCCTGTATTTCCTTTCACTTCCCTCTTGTCCCACCATCATGTTCGGCATTCATTCTGGTTTAGTAATTTCTCTCTGCCACATTTCCCTTAAGCCCCACTAGGCATCCTACGCCCTTCTCTCCATTGATTTTGGTTCATTTGTTCTCTTATCCCTGGTTTGGTTACCCCTCACCTTTCCTTTCTCCCACCTCCCCCTTCTCCGGTATCCCCCCCACTCCCCAAGAACCGTTGGTCCCATTACTTCCATCTCCAAATTGTTTATCCCACCTATTTTAGATAGACATGCAGAGACATGGATAAGCACAAAAACCAGGCAAAGTCACACAAAACAACAAAGGAAGTCAAGACCAACAAAACAATAAAAACAAAACAACAAAAGGAAAGCCACTGACAAAAATGTAAAGACCTATAAAAATAGTTTAAGATCTGTTTGTTGTCCTTTACGAGTATTTTCCAGTAGAGTCTGATGGGGTGCCACACTGTGTATCCAAAGTCTACTTTTGGTATTCCCTAGGGATTTCATCACCTTGCTCCCCTTACTGCTCTGTTGAATGCTTTTAGTTTTTCGCCCCAGCATAATGGGATCAGATTGTAACACATAATCTTACCATCACAGCTAGTATTACTCTTGACTTGCACCTTGGCAATTATTATGGCCAGATGTACATTAAAATAATTGTATGCATGTTTTTTACTATTTCCCTTAACATAAAATATTAGATGAGATTATCAATAAATAAGGAGATGTATATGATATGGTCATTTTAATTGCTTTTATGACAATTTCCATAATACTTACAATTGTGACTTAATCTGAGCTGATCCTTTAGGCAACTGGCTCATATAGAGATAAATGTTAATATTCTGTTTGAAAGTGAGTAGATTAGAAGCTGGTTCTGTACAAAATATGGATTTTTCCATCATAGCAGGATTTTTGCTGTAGAATAGTAATAGTTGTCTATAAAAGTACCTAAAATAAATGAGGCAAAGCTTTGTCAAGCAATACAATTTATAAATGATGTATTTCAATGTTACTATATTCATATGGGTCATAATCAATGTTTTCATTATGCTAACTTTTATATTGATATGGACTCTTAAAATAATCTTATTTAACAAAATTATTAAGCCTCTTAAGACATCTTCATTCAACTGAATCTCAGCCTACCTTAAAGTATTCATCTTTATTATTAAACTGCCATTTCATATTAGTCTTCAACTATCATATCCTGCAAATTGTTTCTCTGGTAGGTCCCATGTTTCAGCTTCTGCCCTTTTTAAAAGACAGTTCTGCTCCCAGCCTCTCAGGTAAAGAGCCAACCTTGCCTTCCTCCCCTAAAACCCCCACCCACAGCCCCAGCAAAACAACAACTACAACAAATACTGCAGTTCCTGATCTTCAGTCGTTTTGAAGAGAAAAATACAAGAGTGTACACACAAAACACTGAAAACCATAACTTGAATTAAGGCCATGAAAAGCAGATATACTGAAAGTCTATATTAATTAAATCAAGGGATAAGTACCATTTGCTTATTAAGAAAACTGTGATTTTAAGATGCAATACATTAAACTTATCGGAAACATGTAACAAATTAATTAGCAGCCTGTACAGTGTCAAGTGTTGGAAGAAATAAACAGGCAGCTTTAAATAGGCCAAATAACAAGCACAAAAGGAGCTTAACATCATAGACTTCCCAAATAACTTTTCACATTCTCTTTAAACATACATATTGAAGTACAATAAAAATTTTAAGTTTGTGAAAAAACACCATTATCTTTTAATTCCATTTACACAATCTACTTGAAGTCCTCTCATATTTCAGGGGAAAAGAATATAATTTTACTCTGAAAGTCAAAGAAGACAGCAAAAACAAGTACAGATGCACAGATTAAACAATATTACCTAAGAAGAGACCTTCTTGCTGTAACAACAGCATGAGTGTCATGCAACACTCTTCCATTTGGTGTAATGCACTGGCCGTAATTGTATTCACCTGTCCCTAAGGCTACAACTTCATGTTGCCCAGCTGGTGGCGAGGGGGAAAAAAAGAAGGTAAACAGGTTATTTTGACTTTTCACTTCCCTATCTTCAACTTCTATCCCACTATTTTTAAATTAACCAGAAAAATAAAGAATAGTTTCATATCAAACAAGTTAAAGCCTGCTAAGAAACAAAAATTTTAAAATATATAACTTATTGTTAAGAGAAGTGGGAATAGGAGGAGTGAGCTAAAGCGTATGCAGGCCCTAGGTGAAAATAGAAGACAGGTGTAGCTGGTCCAATAAGCTGGGAGGATTGCGAGTATAAAACAGCGGCTTTGCGACCCCTGTGGGTTGTGACCCCTTTGGGGATCCAATGGCCCTTTCACAGGGGTCACCTGATTCATAACAGTAGCAAAGTTACAGTTATGAAAATTTCATAATTTCATATAAAATTACAAAAGTAATTTTATGGTTGGGGGCTCACCACAACATGAACTGTATTAAAGGGTTGCGGCATTAGGAAGCTTGAGAACCACTGGTGTAAACGGAATGGCTTAAAGTTTGAGAGAAAGATGACTGTAAATTATAAGAACTTTATGGATTTTTCCTGAGCTACTGGGAAGTTACAGACGGGAGCAAAAATCAATAAGAAAAAAACCACATCACCTTGGGTTATATATTAACATCATTCCTCTATGTGGAGATTACCACATGGAAGGGTCAAGAGTCCAAATATGAGATCTAGCACAGTAGTCCAAGTAAACACTAAATTGCTGCTGTGTGTACCACTGAGTCCGTCGAGACACATACAATCTTATGTATAGTAGAAGGAAACATTCGGGGCCTGGCACCGCCTTCACAATCGTTCTTATGTTTGAGCCCATTGTTCCAGCAACAAGTGTTGAATAGTGACAGTTCAAATGAAAGGAATGATCAGGTGAGACTGAATTTGGGGATATAAACATTAGAGGCAACTCCAGTGAGTTAAGAGATAACTAGTAATGGGTTGCAAGTAGAACATTAGTTTGAGTGAATGTCATTTGCTAAAATGGAAAAAGCCGGAGAACTAGATGGAGAAAAGCTGCTTTCTCAATATTCAAAATCAAGGTATTTATACGCTGTTAAAAGAATATGCCATTCTGGAACTCAGAGAATGACAGATTCTAAGTGATACACTAAGGGAATGTTGACTGACTTAAGAAGTATCCAAAGAAGATGGAAAGAATACACTGAATCACTGTACCAAAAAGAACCAGTCAACATTCTACCATTTCAGGAGATAGCATTTGAGCAAGAACCAATTGGTGATAAATGATGAAGTCAAGGTGAATTGAGTACATTCGCCAAAACAAGGTCCAGGAATTGATGAATATTAATTGAAATGTTTCAAATGAAGAAGCCTTGGAAGCACTCACAAGTCTATGCCAGAAGACAGCTTGGAAGACAGCTAGCTGGCCAACTGACTGGAAGGTCCCTGTTTGTACCCATTCTAAAGAAATGTGACCCCACAGAATGCTCACATATTTTGCTTGAAACGAACTTGTTACTAAAGGCTCCAGGTTCATTCATTTCCTTTTCCTTTTTTTTTTTTTAAGCCACCCATCCTACTACCAAGGGCAAGGAATCTGGAGGGTCTATTTTTGTGTGGTTTTTACAGAAACACATTATATTTACACAGTTCATTTCAAGAAATGAAATCAAGAGCCTGTTAAGCCCTCCATATACGTGGTTTTCTTTCTCCCCACTCCCCTCCCTCCATATGCTATCCATCCCCTCTCCGTTCCCACCCTATCCTTGGCCACCTCATACTCATCAGTCTTGTCTTTTGGTGTGTAAACCATATTTGGTTTTCTTTATAATAACAGTGTTGTTAAATCTTTTTAAGACTGACTTATTGTGATACACATGTTCTCTAGTTTTCTTCATGTCTTCAAGTTTAAAAGAGTTGTCATGGCTTTTACTTGATTATTTTACTAGATTACTTGTATAATATCCCATTGTACAGAAGTACCAGAGTTTATCTATTCCTATACAATTGGGATTATTTTCCTTTCTTATTATGGAAATTGCTACACTAAACATAGGTGTGCATTTGTGTTTTTACTGTATTCTTTTATTTTGGTTATATAACCAATAGGAAAATTGCTGGATCATATTTGTATTTGCCCACAGTGGTTGTATAATTGTACAGTTTCACAAGCAATGTAAAAGCATTGCAGATCCCTCTGCATCTTCTCTAGCATTTGGTTTTATTTAATTTTGCTAAACATCAGTGAGGTGGTATCTCATTGTTTTATGTTTTCTCTTATCGCTAAGGAATGGTAACATTTCTCCATACGGCTGGCGGCTGCCTGAATGTTGTCTTTGTAAATTGTCTATTCCTGTTCTGTGACTTTTTTTTTTTTGATTGGGCTATTTGTATTTTTCTTAAGATTATGTTGTTTTCTTGAGATTTTGGAGATCAGCCTTTTATTTGATGTAGTATTGCTGAATACTTTTTCCTAGTAAGGGGGTTCTGTTGATTCTTTCAATGAAGTTTTTCATTATACACAAAATGTCCTATTTTTATTAGGTCCTAGTTCTTTTTGTTCTATAGGTTAGATATTTTTCATTATGTTTGGTAGTATGTTTATGCCTTGCATTAGGGTCATTAAATTTCTCCCTATTTTTTCATTGATGCTTCTTAATAATTTGTGTTTTTTATTTAGGTCATTGATCTATCTTGTTTTTGTACATGGTTTATGGTATGGGCTGTTTCATTACTTTTCAGGTAAAGATGCAGTTTTTCCAGCACCATTTGTTAAAAAAGCTCTCTTCCCCATTTGTTTTTAGTTCTTTACCAAAGATTTGGTGTCCATATACACTTGGTGAATTCTAGTTCTTTGATTCTTGTACCTGTACTAGGCTGGTTTCATTACCGTGGCTATATAATACGCTTTAAAGTCCAGGCGTGACAGCCAGGCACCATCAGCTTTCTTCAAATTTGCTTATGCACCTATTTTGTATTCAAAAATCGTGTTGGGAAGGTGAGCATCACGGAATGCTGGGTTATTAGAACAAAGTGTTCTTACATTGAGGGAGTACTTGCTACCTTAATACTTAACACATAAATATGTGTACATAGATCTATTTCCCCATCATTATATATATATATATAAATGTACATTCCTATAGTTATACCTCTATAAATGTCCTTTTCCTCCTAGTTCTTTCCTCTATTTCCTCTTACTTTCCTCATGTCCCACAATCATATTCAGCCTTCATTCGGATTAATTAATTCTTCTTGGCTACATTGCCCTTGATCAAGTCTCACCACGCATCCTATACCCTCCTTGCCATCAATTTTAGATTATTTGTTGTTCCCTTGTCCCTGGGTTGGTTGACACCCCCACCCCCCCACCCCAAACAGTTGGTCCCATTGTTTTCTCCTCTGGATTGTTTATCCTATCTTATATAGACATGCAAAGACAATAATAAGCACAAGAAAACAAAACAGAGCAAAACAAAGCAACATAACAAAAAAACAACAACAGATATAGCACCTGGGGTCTTAAAGGCTTGAAGATAAACAAGTGGCCATCTAGCTGAGAAGGAGCGAAGCCCACATGGAAGAAGCACACCAGCTTGTGTCATCATGAGGTGTCGATGGAATCAGGGATCAGGCATCAAAGACCCTTGAACATAAAATCCTATCAATAGGAATGAGGGGGAGTGCAGAGTAGAGACCCAAAACATTCCCTGTCAGAAGGGCCACAGGAAGGAATGCAGCAGTCAGCATGCAGTATGGCTCTGATGAAACATACAACTTTCCTCTACTTCTTTAATGCTTTCTCCCCACTCCCCAATTCTACTTATAAATCTGGATAGACCCAAGCATGTACACCGGTACAGATAAGAGCTGAAAACGAAGGGAATCCAGGTCAGATAAATACTTCAGAGCCAATGAAAGGAGCCATACCAGGAAGGTAATGGGAAGGTGGGGGGAGCAAGGGGACACTGATCACAATGATCTACATATAACCCCATTCCAGGGGGCTGGACAACAAAGTGGTTGAAGGGAAACATCAGTCAGTGTTAAGACATGGGAAAAAAAATGTATAAGTTATCAAGGGTTCACGAGGGAGAGGGAAGGAAAAACTGAGCTGATACCAAGGATTGAAGTACAAAGAAAATGTTTTAAAAATGATGGCAACATATGTACAAAAGTGCTTGACACGATGTATTGTAGGCAGGCGCCCTCAAACTACAGCCCACGGGCCACAAGCGGCCCGCCGGGTGTTTTTGCCACATTTGTTTTTTTACTTCACAATAAGGTACGTGCAGTGTGCATAGGAGTTAGTTCACAGTTTTAATTTTGTCTGGCCCTCCAATGGGTCTGAGGGACAGTGAACTGACCACCCGTTTAAAAAGTTTGAGAACCCCTGGACTATCGATTGTGAAAAGGGTTGTATGAGCCCCCAAGAAAATGAGTTTAAAAAAAAGTCAAGGTGTAAAAGGCTGCCTACTTTGCTTTTATTTTTAAGTGTTTTATTTATACATGGATTTCTTTCCTTTCCATTAAGTTTTTGTTTTCCATTTCTTTGAAGTGTTTTGGTAGGATTTGGTTCGCAATTGCACTGAATTTATATTTTTGGTAATGTTGACATTTTCAGAATTTTTTTTTTAATCCACCCATTTAAGAATAGAGTAGCTCGTTCCAGTTGTGAAAGCTCTTTTTGGTTTCTTGGAGTGCTTTGTAGTTTTCCTTGTATACGTCTTTTATTTCTATAGTAAGATTCCTGGGTTTTTTGGTAGTTATTGTGAATTGTATTGTCTTTCTAATATCATTTCAGTATCATCTTTTATTCACAAAAATCCTAATTTGTTATGTTGACCTTATACTCTGCTATGCTGCCAGATTTTGTAATTTCAGCAACTTTTTAGTTGAATTATTGGGGTTCTTCTACATGTAGGACTATGTAAATAGCTTTTTATTTCTTTTGTGCTTACATGGATAGCTTTAATAAATTTTTGAAGTCATTAGCTAAACAGTAAAAGTGGTGAT